ATTTGAGCATGAGCTTTCGTGAGCCACAGCTCACTTCATCAGATGTGTACCGTGGAAACTGCAGCAGACTTTATATACACACAGAGAATATGAAACAATACCTCCTCCCACCCCACTGTCCTGCTGGTAATAGCTTATCTAAAGTGATCAACAGGTGGGCCATTTCCAGCACAAATCCAGGTTTTCTCACCCTCCACCCCCCCACACAAATTCACTCTCCTGCTGGTGCTAGCCCATCCAAAGTGACAACTCTTTACATAGTCAAGTCGGGCTATTTCCTGCATAGATCCAGGTTTTCTCACTTCCCCCCCACCCCCATACACACACAAACTCACTCTCCTGCTGGTAATAGCTCATCTAAACTGACCACTCTCCAAGTTTAAATCCAAGTTAAACCAGAATATCTCAAGACTTGTGAGAGTGTTGGGTCATCCTTTAGGATAGGTTGTAGATCCTTAATAATGCGTTGGAGGGGTTTTAGTTGGGGGCTGAAGGTGACCGCTAGTGGCGTTCTGTTATTTTCTTTGTTAGGCCTGTCCTGTAGTAGGTAACTTCTGGGAACAGGCCAGTCCTTGCCTACAGACAGCCCCGCAACCTGAAGCAAATACTCACCAACAACCACATACCACACAACAGAACCACTAACCCAGGAACTTATCCTTGCAACAAAGCCCGTTGCCAATTGTGCCCACATATCTATTCAGGGGACACCATCACAGGGCCTAATAACATCAGCCACACTATCAGAGGCTCGTTCACCTGCACATCCACCAATGTGATATATGCCATCATGTGCCAGCAATGCCCCTCTGCCATGTACATTGGTCAAACTGGACAGTCTCTACGTAAAAGAATAAATGGACACAAATCAGATGTCAAGAATTCTAACATTCATAAACCAGTCGGAGAACACTTCAATCTCTCTGGTCACGCAATCACAGACATGAAGGTCGCTATCTTAAAACAAAAAAACTTCAAATCCAGACTCCAGCGAGAAACTGCTGAATTGGAATTCATTTGCAAATTGGATACTATTAATTTAGGCTTAAATAGAGACTGGGAGTGGCTAAGTCATTATGCAAGGTAGCCTGTTTCCTCTTGTTTTTTCCTACCCCCCCCCCCCCCCAGATATTCTGGTTTAACTTGGATTTAAACTTGGAGAGTGGTCAGTTTAGATGAGCTATTACCAGCAGGAGAGTGAGTTTGTGTGTGTATGGGGGTGGGGGGGAAGTGAGAAAACCTGGATCTATGCAGGAAATAGCCCGACTTGACTATGTAAAGAGTTGTCACTTTGGATGGGCTAGCACCAGCAGGAGAGTGAATTTGTGTGGGGGGGTGGAGGGTGAGAAAACCTGGATTTGTGCTGGAAATGCCCCACCTGTTGATCACTTTAGATAAGCTATTACCAGCAGGACAGTGGGGTGGGAGGAGGTATTGTTTCATATTCTCTGTGTGTATATAAAGTCTGCTGCAGTTTCCATGGTACACATCTGATGAAGTGAGCTGTGGCTCACGAAAGCTCATGCTCAAATAAATTGGTTAGTCTCTAAGGTGCCACAAGTACTCCTTTTCTTCTTAGAGCAAACATTGAACATCACCTTATGGCATGGGAGGCAGATATTATAAGTAGGATTAATACATGCTGCGTCCTACAAGCATTCCATAAAGTCTGGACACATTCTTCTGACTCTGCTATTGATGGTAATAACATTAACACACAGGTGAGCCAGGCGAGTTTCCTGCTCTGCATTTGTCAGCGTTCAGGGAGGCCTAGGGCATGCACCTGGTCTGCCAGTGTCACAAGACACATCAGCAGTGAATGAGACAGGCGCAGCAAGGGGCAAGCAAGCTGATGTGCTTTGGGGATGCATATGCAGAAGTATCAGGTCATGGAATGGAGAGGTGATTGTGTGTTGCTTGGTTGCTAGAATATGCGGTTCAGTGTTGGATCATTCAGTACAGGAGAGTTTACAAACTGAAGGGAATTCACAGACAAGCAGCACAAATTATCCAGGGGCCAGAAAAGCTCATTTGTGAGGAGAGATTAAAAGAGCTAAATATGTAGGGCCCGAGTTTCATTTTCACGAAGGTCTCTTTATAACATGCTGGCCACGTTAAAGGGGCCGTAAGTAGATGTAAATTACAGTCGCTCCCCTTTTAAGGCTGCTTTACTCTGGCAGAGGGGAGTAAAGTGGCCTTAGGGTAAATGAGCAACAGGCCCATGGCTGTGTGCTATCCATGGATAGGGCTGTGGAGTGGGAGCGAGTGAGAGCAGATCTTCATCTGGTGTAAACTGACATAGCTCCATTGCCTGCAATGCGGCTGTGTTTTCTGATTGACACCAGCTAGGGATCTGCCCCACTTCCCCCCTTCCAGGTTCTGTTCCCAGCTCCACAATGATGCATACTGTCAGTCACTTCCCTGCTCTGTGCCTCAATTTCCCCACCTGTAAAATGAGGATAATGACGCTGATCCACTTTTGCAAAGTGCTTTGAGATCAATGGATGAAAAGCCCTGTTATGAAAAACTGGTTCTTATTTATTAGAATATTCAGTTTCTTAAAGAGTAAACCTAAGTTTTGGTGTCATACTGAGCATGGGACAATACTTATTCTAGCTTCTTTCTTTTGATTGTGTTCATGTAATTCAACCTTGTCCTTGTGGCTATTTATGTAAAAGTGTGTGGGGAAGAGAGGGCAGGGGGCTGCCAATAGGATTGTCCTGGAGTCTTCAGGAATTCAAGATTAATCTTTAATTAAAGATTGTCATGTGGTGAAACCTTCAAGAAAAGTGTCCAACCCCAGGAATACCTTCAACCCCAATTGGCAACTCTAGTGTTAAAGCTAACACTGACTCTGCTCTGTTTTGGAGAATGCTGTCTCAGGGAGACACTCAACCTGTGAGTTAAATGCAGCTCAGGCTGTCTGCTGAGCAGAAGACGCACAAAGGTGTTAGCACAGACCACAGTGTTATTCTAAGCCCGGCCGGTTCAAGGCAGTGGCTAAGTGTGTGATTCGCTGTACAGTGGCCAGCCCTGGGTCCTGTGGGTTGAAGTGAGACCTCACTTCCATGTAGACCCCTTGCTAGGCTGCTGTATGGGAGGCTCAGTCCTCTATGTGACTAAGCCACCGTGAGTCTGCTGGAAACGGGCAGCTGAGGGTTCTCCCTCTTTCAGGGGAAGTCTTGAGTGAGTAAAGCCAGTGTAAGGAGTGTGTCAGGGAGGACCGGGAAAGGGGCATGCCAGGTGTAGGAGGGGGTGGGGCAAAGCCCACAAAGCTCCAACAGATGCTTGGTGGCACAGGGTAAGTTAGAGCAGCCCTGAAGCTGGTCTAAGTTACGCCAGGGACCGTTCCAGTCTCTGGGATGCCCAAGATAAGCAGAGTGGAGGATCCCACATACCCACCTGCCCCCACAGCTGAGCCAAATAGAAACTGAGCACAACTGAGGACTGAAGACCAGAATCTTATTTACGCTCTCAGGCAGCGTAAAGGGGCCTAGGTGTGAATGAGACTCAGGCCCTCTGTGTCCTGCTGTGGCTGCCTGCCCCACGGGAAGTGGGTCTAGGAGGAAAGCGTCTGTAACAACGGCGCTGTCCTCGCACCGGGCACAGCAGCTTCTGCCCTGCACCTTGGTGGGTGCTGCTGGAAGAGGGAGGCTGGGCTTGATGGGCCAATGATCTGCCCGAGTGAGGAAGCTCCGGTCCCAGGAATCCTGCTCACCCCAGCGGCTTCCTCTACTTCCCCCTGACAGCAGCTGTGAGGGGAAAGAGGGAAGCTGTTTAACAGCCCCATTTGCACACGCCTGTCCCTCCTCTGAGGGTCCCTAGAGCAGCTTACCTGCGCTGCTGGCTCGGAGACAATGGCACCTACTTCACCACACACAGGAAAAGGCAGATGAGCAGAAAATACTCACGCTCTTGGGGGTTATTTTTCAAGAGCTTTTCAGTTTGACGCTTTGCAGGAGCTGCTAGCACCTAGGGGCTGCTCCGGGGCTGGTGTGAAAAGAGAGCGTGGGGCTCCGTGCAGCTTCTGGTGGAAAGGGGTCCAAGCTACAGTCCGTAAGACCATCCCGCTTGGCACTGTCATCTAAATGCTAATGAATGAAAGCTCATTTCCCAACCTTGGTGACCGACTGAAGAAAGACTCCAGGGCCCGGATGAGCCAGGGAGACTGAACGTCTAGCCAGGAGTATCAGTGATGATATTCTGGTAGTCCCCAGGGGCCATCATGTGTGGCTGAGTGGATAGAACATTGGGCTGGTATTCAGCAGACCTGAGTGCTTATTTCTAGCTCTCCTGTTGAGTGACCCTGGGCAAGCCACTTCCCTTCCCCATGCCTCAGTTTCCCCAGCTGTAAAATGGGGCTAATGAAACTGACCTCCTTTGGAAAGCACGTTGAGATGTACTGATAAGAGCCAGGGGTTATTAACATGTGGGATGCTGCACATACGCAGTCCCTGCTCCATAGACCTTACACTTTAAATAGACAAGACAGAGATTGGAAGGAAAGAGTAGCCCCACTTTTAGGAGGGAAACTGAAGCACAGATACGTGAAGCGACTTGCCCCAGGTCACCCCTGGAATCTGTGGCTGAGCTGGTCACACTGAACCCAGGTGTCCTGAGGCCTGGCTCAGTGCCTTAGCCACAAACCCATTCCACCTCTCCAAGAAGCGTGAGACAGTGGAATGGATGGGGCTGTGGATCAGCGTCCCCAGAGACGTGGTGGAAACCCCTTTGCCCGTGACAGTGAAAAGTGGGGTGGAGCAAGGATTGAACTGGCCATTGGGGCTGACCCCACCTGGGTGCAGGTCAGTGCTGATGCAGCTGCTCTGTGGTTTAATAGAGGACTCCAAGCTGATCAGTTCAGCACCGTTCACCAGCACTAAATTCCACCCACCTAAGCCAGGCCAGGAAGTGATCCTGTTTTAGCCCATGTTTCCCTGACAAGCTTGGGACCCAGTTAACCCTTCACTCACCTGCTCTTTGTACTTTTTAACCTCCAGGTTGCAAAGAAATGGAAGTGGCCGCAATTGCAGGGGAATCCGTCCAGTTACAGCCAGTGAAATTGCCGGAGCATTGGGCAGAAATCACCTGGAGGGTCGCACTAGGCTCAACAGAGACGTATCGGCTTGTAACATTTAATAAAAAGGAAGCCCATGACCTTGGGTCAGCCCCACATTTTATCGACAGAGTCACTTTCCACCATGAGAACCTCTCACTGCAGATCGATCCTGTTAACAAGTCAGACAGTGGCCTCTATATCTTGGAAGTTGACCCTGGAGGAGGCCGAGTCAACATCACAAAGTTCAATGTCTCTGTGTTTGGTGAGTAGCAAAGATCACGTTTTCCCCAGTGTGTGTCACTGACGGCAGCCACCTTCCTCAGCATCTCTCACCAGGGTCTCTCCTTTCAGACCGAGTCCGGCAGCCAAACCTCACGGTGCTCTCTGCCCACCAGGAGCTCGGCCAGTGCAACATTACCCTGTCCTGCTCGGTGCCTGGTGCTGACACAGTCAGCTACAGCTGGTCCCAAGGCATGTCCCGGATCCTGTCTGACAGGGACCATCAGCTCCCTGGCTACCAATCCCTGCTGCACGTAGTGATTAATGCAGACAGCGGTGACGTCTTCTACCGATGTAATGCTAGTAACCGAGCCAGCTGGGAAGCAGACACTGTAGATGTCAAACCATTGTGCAACTCCCCAGCCACAGGTAAATATATGTGTGGATTTATTGTCTTCTGCAACTTAGCATTTGAAATGCATGGGCCTCTGGGTCTGGGAGCAGCCAGAGCTCTGGTGGCTAGTTGCATAGGTTTCAGTGATACTCGTGTGTTTCCACTTGTGCGGATCTTGCTCTCTTTGACTAATAGCTGTTATATAGCATGTTTCAGCTGTAAATCTCCAAGCACTTCACAAAAGAGGGCAGTATCATCACCCTCATCTTACAAATGGGGAAACTGAGGCACAGAGCAGTGATGTGACTTGCCCACCTTCACATGGGGCAGCTGGGAAGTGAGGTACAGATTTTGGGATAGGTAGAGCTCTCTGGGAAACATTTCTCCCCCCTCCCCGAACACGGAGAAAATTTACACAAAATAACAAAATTGTTTCAGTCTCAATTTTCCACAAAACATTCATCAATAAACCAAAACCCAAACATTTTTGGCCAAGGCCCATATTTTTTGATTTTGGGTTTTTTTTCCACACAAAACTCAAAATTTTCCATCGGAAGCAGATGCTCTTCATGAAAATATTTTATATAACCAAAAAAAAAAAAAAAGCAATTTTCAGTCAAAACACACGTGAAGGAAAATTTTTGACCAGCCCTTTATCCAGGATTGGGATTTTCAAAGAAGCCTGTGTAAATCCAGGTCCCAAACCCCAGCACAGAGGGGCCTGTGTGCGAAACAGTTTAGAACAGGGTAAAGCTCGTCTGCGAAGGCAACAGGTTTTTGGGGCTGGTCCAAGCCCATGGAAGTTCCTCCTGCAGGATTTAAGACCCACCACAAACCTCACACTACCTTCTGTTCCCAGTGCAAGGGGCACGTGGTCTATACATGTTTGCAAGTAAAACCACTGGCTAGGGAAAAGGATCTGGGGGTTACAGTGGATCACAAATTGAATGAGTCAACAATGTGATGCCGTTACCAAAAGGGCTAATATCATTCTGGAGTGTATTAACAGGAGCGTAGTATGTAAGACACGAGAGGTAATTGTCCCACTCTTCTGATCATTGGTGAGGCCTCAGCTGGAGTCCTGTGGACTGGTCTGGGCACCACATTTTAAGAAAGATGGGGACAAATTGCAGAGAGTTCAGAGGAGAGCAACAAAAATGACAAAAGATTAAAAAAAACAGACCTGTGAGGAAAGATTAAAAAACACCGGGCTCATTTAGTCTTGAGAAAAGATGGAGGGGGAGGGGGGACTGACAGCAGTCTTTAAATATGTGAAGGGCTGTTATAAAGAGGTCTGTGATCAATTGTTCTCCATAGGACAAGAAACAATGGGCTTAATCTGCAGCAGGGGAGGTTTAGGTTAGATATTAGGAGACACTTTCTAGCTCTAAGGGTAGATAAGCTCTGGAACAGGTTTCCAGGGAGTTGTGAAATCCCCATCACTGGAGGTTTTTAAGAACAGGCTGGACAAAATCCTGTCAGGGCTGGTCTGGATTTATTTGGTCCTGCCTCAACGCAGGGGGCTGGATTTTATGACCTCTCAATGTTCCTTCCAGCCCGACATTGCTGGGATTCTAGGATTCAAATAGCTCATCCCAGTAAAGGGATAGGCAGGGATACACCTGCCATTTCAGATGTCAGCGCTCCCAGTCCCTGTGAAGGAGGGTTGAGCTGGTTAAGTAGTAGGATGGCAGACCTCAGGAAAACCAGTGGTGCTGTTCAAGGGAACAGACTTGCTGTTATTCCTCTTGATTATGGGCTCTTCAGGAAGTGCCTCTTTGCTATAATGATGATTGCAGTCGCACCTACAAAGCCCCCGTGGAACAAAACAAAACACAATTGAAAGTTTCCTCCCAAATGAAATTAAAATTTTAAAAGTTGCATTTTATGTCGATCAAAACATTTCATTTCAATCAGATGAGAACATTGTGTTCCTATTTGACCTTTTCAACTTTTAAAAAAAATAGCAGAAATGTGTTTCAGAATGAAAAGCCAAACATTTCATTCTGAAAATGGCATGTTTTGACATAAGAGGAAAAATGAAGCCTTTTGATAAAATTTCACTGAAATCTATGGTGTTTTTTCAAAAAATGACTTTTTTTTGGTCAAACCTTTTGAATGAAACATTTGTGACCCACTCTAGTCGCAAGTATTGTAGTGGGTGATGTCCCTACAGAACTAGAAGTGAGGGAAAGAGAACTGATTGGCCAGCCAAACCAGCAATCATCCAGAGAAACAGGGGAGGGACTTCCTTTCTCTGCAATGAACTCTGGGTAGGAAAACCCTTTATAAAACTCCTGACTCCCTCTGAGCAAGAGAGTTGTAGGGCTGATGAAGAAATGTCATCTTACCTGGAGGAACCTGGCCTGTGTAAGACACAGTAGGGAGTATTTTGAGTGAGTAAACAGGCTGATGTCAAAACGTCTATTTTGTTGGTTTGGTTTTTTTATTTAAAAATTTTGGTGGTTTTTGTTTTTGTTTTATTTTTTGCTAAAAGGCTCTGAATTGGGCCCCGGTGATCAGCTTGGACAGCCTTGCTGCTGCACGTGGCCAGTAGCATGCTAAGGATCTGAGTGGTATGTGTTTGAGCATCTCTGTAGAAGGCGTTACGGATGGTTATCTGCCGTAGGCTGGTGTTGCAAGCTCTCGTGATTTTGTTGCAAGTCTTATGACCTTAAGCATTTTCAATAAAGCCCCAACTCCTAGAGTCAGGCGACAAGGTGAGACCCTCAGCTTTCATTTTTTAAAAAAGTAAGTTTCTAGCCATCAATGGGTGTAGGAGACAAACCTGAAAATATGACCCAAGTGAACACGAAAGGATTGGAAGCCAGAGGGCAAAATAAAAAAAAACCAACAACATGGATTTTGTAACCCAAACTCATGATTTTATTGAATACCAGCGGTTGGCAATATTTCTCAGCAGTCTGTTGGGCTTTGTGACAATTAGTCTATCATTTACCAAAGCATCTACTGCCCATTAACTAACCCATCATAAAAATGCTATAAAGTAGGGTGGAGAATAAGGGTCAGGAAAGGCTCTGGCATTCTGCAGTGTAACGAGAACTCGGCTTTTCACCTTTCTCTCTTACAGACTTTTTTCAGAAAGTCCCACTGTGGGCAACTGTTGCTGCAGGACTGGGGCTTCTGCTCACGACGCTCACCCTCATCTTCCTCTGCAAGCATCGGAAGAAACGAAGTAAGTGGTAAAAGGATGCTCATCCAGTAGAGGAACGTCACCTTCAGGTCATGAAAGCAGGTTAACATGAGACCACATACGGATGGCGGAGAGCTGACTCTGCACCGTCAGTCATCCCTGCTGACATTTGTGTTACACTGGAGGTCAGGCTAGATGGTCACACTGGTCCTCTGACTCCATTCTGGACTGAAAATCTATGAATCAGACACTGGCCCTGTAAACCCATAGTAACCCCCTGAAACTGCCTCGTGTCTATAGATTTTCTTTTTTTTTAAACGCTCGTCCTGATTTACTGCACTGCAGCCAGACCCTGGGGTAGGAGGCCAAGAGTCTTAGAGGAAATATCACTGGGACCAGGGTGGGTGGCTCTGGGAAACATCAGGGCTGAGGGTGATCTGTTAGTGGCAAGCTGCCCACACCCTGGGCAACCCTGAGCAGAGGGCTTTGCCTGGGGTAACTTTCACCCTGTGAGAATGGGATGTGATGGGGTCTCTTGCACAAGTCGCTTTGTTCTGTCTCTTCAAAGGTTCCTGCAAAGACGGTGACCCACCCCTCACCCTCTACGAGGAAGTGAAGGACTCCCGCACCAGAAGACACGCTGTGAGTCCCGAGGGAATCCCTTCATTTTTCGCCTTTGTAGGCAAGGCCAGATCAGTGCTGTTACAGCTCACCTGGCTTAATGATGGCAAAGGCTGAAATCTTTCGCAGAGAGTGAGTCTCATGGAGTGCCACCCTGCTTTGGCAGAAAGACCAGATATCCCCGACAGCCTTCCCACCTAGATCAGATAGAAAACCATCCCTAGGAACATGGGAATTGCCAGACTGGATCAGACCCAGGCCTGTCTGGTCCAGTATCACCTCTGCGAAAGTGGCCAGCACCAGATGCCTCTGAAAGAGGAAAGAACCCTTCTCTAGGCAGGGGTGGGATAACTTGCTATCAAGGAAGGCCTCATTTTCATCACTAATAGTCCGAGATTGGTTTAAGCCCTGAAGAGTGAGGTTTTTATCCCTTCCCTGTTTGCATTAATTTTTATAACTCTGAATATCCTTGTTCTCCATATAAATGTCTGCCAACCCTCTTTGACTCTTACCAGCTTCTTGGCCTCAATGACATCCTGTGGGAGTGAGTTCCACAGTATAATTATGCATTAATTGAAAAACTAGTTCCTTTTATTGGCTTTGAATGTCACCTTTCGCTGTCATTGAGCATCCCTGTCTCAACACAAGCACAAGGAGAACAGAGACTTCTGAGCTAATGCCCTAGAAAGCCCCACGTAATAATACGTGTGGCAGGTTGGATCCCCCGTCCAGGATGCCACCTGATGTACTGGGATTTCACTGAGCCTGCCTGCTCCACTAGCCTGGGCTCCCTCTCTCTGTTTTGCTGAATTAGGCTCTCTGGCCTCTGGCAGCACCATACACAGGTAGGGGTTCACAAGCTGTAGAATCGCACCGTCTGCAAACAGCTCTCTATGAGAAGACTCAGCTAGGAAATTGCCCAGGATTCAAGTGCAGCTCCCCCCTGGAAAGTACACCCAGAATAATATTGTCTTTCTCTGTAGAGAAATCTATACAACGTAAGCTCATAAATCCACCCCCTCCCTCAATGTGGAGAAGGATATGCACAGCTTCCCTCCCCCTTCCCCCCCCCCAATATAAATTGCACAAACAGCTTTCCTCCCTCTCCCCAGATATGAATTGCACAAACTGGATTTTTGGAATAAGTTCCAAAATCCAGTTTCTGCAATTCATATCTGGGGGGAGGGAAGCTGTGCATATCTTCCTCCACATTGGGGGAGGGGGTGAATTTATGAGCTTACGGTGTATAAACTATAAAAGGTAAATTGTAAGTGATTATAAGAGATTACTGACCAAATAAAACAAAACACGCAAAGTGAGCTTAAGATCTTAAAGAGACAGGTTTCAAGAAGTAATTTCTCACCCTAAATGTCCTTTTAGGAAAGTTGCAGAGTTCCTGGAGCTTAGAGTTCGTTATTTCTTTTTACAGACTGGACCCCTGTCTTAGTCTGGACTCGGCCCTTGCCTTTCCCTCAGCTCAGTTCCTTGGTCTCTTCAGATACTTTCAGCAGCCTTTCTTCTTGAGCAGGAAGGCAATGGAGAAGAGTCCTGTTTGCCTTAATTCCCAGCCGTAAATAGAATTTACGTAAGGCGGGAAGCCTTTGTTTCCAGTGGAAAAGTACCAACAGTATCCAAGGGGGCACTTTTTACCAGATGACATGATCACCTGATCTTGCAGTGTCAAAGCAACCATGAAACCAAGTTTATTTGCAATGTCCAAAGGAAGGAACTCCTGGAAGATGGGGATCCATATTTTTGAAGACTCAGTGTCTTTTTCCTAATAGCCCATTAAGGCTGATTGCTTATTGTCTGGTGGGCGTCTCCAAGTATAACCACAGTTATAATTGTTACATAATTAATATCTCTAACTCCAGATAGAGAAATGTTACATGCATACAAATTGTATAATCGCATTCAGTAAATTATAACCTTTCCAATGATATCTTACATGAGCCATCTTGCATAAAACGAGTCTTGGGGCACAAGAAAATGTCAATGGGACAAGCCACCCTGATTGAATCATTGGCCCTCCCACTTGGTAAGGCAACTCCCATCTTTTCTTGTGCTGTATATTTATGCCTGCCTAATGTAATTTTCACTCCATACATCTGAAGAAGTGGGTCATAACCCATGAAAGCTTATGCTCTGATAAATTTGTTAGTCTTTAAGGTGCCACAAGACTCCTCGTTGTTTTTGCTGAAACAGACTAACATGGCTACCCCTCTGAAACTTGCATAAAATTTATCTTAATTATGTCATATTCATATCCTAAGCATATTTCTGTTTGGAGAATAAAGAATATGGAGCATCCTGGCACCATACGTAACTTAGCACTTCTGGTGCTGCCTTTTACCTGTGGATTACAAAGCACTTTTATGAAGTCAGGTCAACATAATTACCCCCATTTTATGTATGGGGAAACTGAGGCACAGAGTGGGGGAAGTGACTTGTTCAGGGTCAAAGCTGAGCATGAAACCTGGGTCTCCTGATTCCCACTCCAGTGCAATTTTCACTGGACTGTGTATCCAGTTGGGGTGACTATAATTTACCTGAAGTTTCGAATGCCACGCTCCACCCCAGAGGGGGCTGCCTTGCAGTGGCGTGGGAAGTAAACCCTGTGTATAGTGTAAACATAGCTTTTCAGTCCTGCAGGATAGAAGTGCTATAGAAATACGCTTGTAAGATTTGAAATAAGAAATATATTTTCCAGATAGGTCAATGGAACGTCTATCAACATGCAGGATTCATTCATAACCACCTGCTGCCACCTTCTGGCCAGTTTAGAGCATAGCTGCTCCCTTTCTGATCCTCTGCTGCCCCCTGGAACTCATTTCATCTCACTCTTTTGGAGCCTGCCACAGACTTAAAATACTTTCCCTGTATTCATCTCGTCTTTCCTGTTTTGTTACTTTTCACTTCTGTGCATTTCTTGGATAAGTGGAGCTACTGTCAGATGAGCAATGGGGTTTTTCAAAATAAAAGTACAGATATTTAATGTATAAAAGCAGCATAAAAACAGAGTTAACATTGTTGGTTAATGTGTATATGCACCACTGTCCTCTACTGACTGGAATCAGAACTCACCCGTGTGTCATAGGCCCTGTACTGCTATTTGCTAATGGGGATTTCCCTTTAGCTCAGGTTTCAACGACGGGGACTCTGAGCTCTATCCCTGCTGTCACTGAGATGTTCTAGGTGACCACAGATTTGTAAGAGTGATCGCTGAAGGCCTGACCAAATAAGTAAATGTGCTACTTCATTCCAAACAAGCTGTAGGTGATGAAGCTGCCCCTCCCCAGGGGGAATGGCCAGACTGAACCTTGTGGTCTGGAGGGCATGTTTGTCTGTGGAAAGGTTCTCATGACTTGAGTCCCCTCTGTGGCCTCTTCACACTGTATGTCTTAGCTTTGTGAGTTTAGCTTTAAGGAGAGATGGGATCCAATGCTTTATGAAACCCCAAAAAGATTAATTCTGCCACATTCTCGCCATCCACTTCTCTTGTATCTGTTTTAAAAAAAGCTGATCAAGTTTTTTTGGCGTGACTTCTTCTTTGCAGTCCCCCAGCGCTGGTTGTCATTCATGGGTCCATCATCCTCTAGCAACCTGAGTCAGCTCATTGAAGTGGGTGGAATGGTTCCTGTTAATTTCATTGCACCTTGGATCTGGCCCCAAAGGATGGTTGAATTTTATTCTCTCAGCAGTTGAGCCAGTGATCCTGATTGAAGAGACAGGAAGGAAATTAAGTCCCTTATTTTTTTTCCCCGTGACTAAGATATTTAAACCAACCTGGTTGTTTTTTTTCCCCTGTACAGAATGGAAATGCACAGGGAAGAACTGTAGGAAACACCATCTACGCTGAGATCAACTGCAACCTGAAAGTAAGCGCCCAGTGGTCCTCCCAACCCAGGTTCACTCTGCTGCTTTCAAACCATAGGTTTTGTTTTACATCAAGCTACTCCCTGTGCAGACGTATGGATGAAAGGAGACACCTCTTAGGCCTGTGGGACCAGATCCTCTATTGGTGTAAACTGACATTGCTCCATTAACAATTTACACTAGCTGAGGATCTGGCCAATGGTTCTTGAAGAATCATAGCAATGCCATGCTGGAAGGGTCCTTGAAAAGTCATCAAGTCAAGCCTCCTGCACTGAGGCAGGACCAAGTAACCTGAGACCATCCCTTGTCCAACCTCTTCTGAAAAACCTCCAGTGACAGTGGATTCCACAACCTCCTTCGGAAACCTATTCCAGAGCTCAATTCCCCTGAGAGTTCAGAAAGTTTTTCCTACTAGCTAACCTGTTGTCTGATTTGTTGAGTGGTTATTGATTATATTGACTTAAGAATTTCCAGCTGATCACTGATTAGATTTGAGGTTTGAAAGGTTCTAGTCCTGGTATCAGCACAACAGAATGAAGTTCAATGTCTGGTTGGGAACCTGGACATGCACAATATCGCACTCACCTGAATGTTCCTACCCTCAAACATCCACAGCTGGTTTCTATTCCTATTCCTCGGGTTCCCTGATCTCACTTTACTCCCCAGATCCCCTAAACACAATGTTATCAGTTCCCCAATAACTCTGGGTAACTCCCTTATGCTCAGGCTCAGAGGCCTCCAAGCCTTACGCTAACTACTTAAGGGAAATATCTCACAGGTGTAGATCTGTAGGTTCCTCATATTACTGTTCCATAAAATACCTTCAGGATAGTTCTATGAGCTAGAGACTGGAATCTCTCTTGCTGCCGATTAAGCCCGTTACTACTTGGCCTACCTTCATTAGACATGGAGAACCATTGACCCCGTCCTCTCTAACAGCCCTTAACAGATTTGAAGACTTATCAGGTCCCTTCTTTTCTCAAGACTAATCCTGCCTAGCTTTTTAACCTTTCATAGGCTCCTCCCTGCTTGGTCATCTGCAGATTTTATAAGCGTGCTCTCCACTCCCTTATCCAAATCACTAAGGAAAATATTGAATAGTACCAGGCCTAGGACTGGCCCCTGTGGGCCCCCTGTCCAATTCTGATAGTGAACCATTGATAACCATTGATTACCTTCAATCCATAACATTTTTGCTCTGTTCAAGTTCTAATCTAACTGTAATTCTTTCCTTGAACAGCCCCTGATAAAGGGCTATATTCTAGTGGTTTGTGCTAGTCACTGGGATACCTAGTCTTGAATCTCGGCTCTCCAGCTGACTCACTGGGTGAGTGAAGTGTTCTGAGACCTAACGACCAGAAGCACTACATTATTAGTAGTACAAGGATCATTGGGTCAGGTCCTCGGCAGGTGTACATTTTGCATAGCTCTGCTGAAGTCAATAGAACTATGCTGACCTATGCCAGCTGGGAGCTGGGCCCTTTGTCCATCATTTGCTCTTCACTGATGTTGATTGTCTTGACTTTCCCCAGGCAGCAGACTTCACGGTGTATGCTGCTGTCCAGAGGGTGAGTATGTCTTGCTATGGTGGTAGCCATATCTGGGCAAGCCACAGTGAATAGCCGTATTGGGTTCTGAAAAGGTTTTCATACTACGTAGCTGGGCCCGCTAATGTGTGAGAGGTAAACTTTCAAGGGGCTTGGCAGGATTTCCCATCCATGTTAATGGGAGTTGGCAGCGTTGTAGCCCCATCGGTCCCAGGATATATGAGATGGGGTGGGGGAGGCCATCTCTTTTATTGGACCAACCTCCACTGGTGGAAGAGATGAAATGCCGAGCTACGCCGAGCGCCTCTTCAGGAGCAGGTCTGGGGATGCCCATCAGTGTGCAAGCTAAATACAATTTGGGGTGGATTGTTAAGCATAAGGGGTCAGGCATGTTGTAGGAGGCCCCCTGAAATGGAGCGGGCAAATAGGGTGAGTTCGTTATACAAAAGAGGTTTGAAGGGACCATTAAAGGTCAGCAGGCAGGTGTGTGTTACACATTGTTGACCTGGACTGGAGCATTGCATGATTTGCACCTTTAGGATGTGGTTTACAAAGGGCCCTAAGGGAGTTAGACACCTGCGGTGAGATTTTTCAAAAGGTATTTAGGTACTAATGATACAGATAGGTGGCTAGTAGGTGTCTAAGCTTTTGAAAATCCCATCTGCATTTTTAGGCTCCTAAATACCTTTGAAAATCCGGCCCAAACTTCCATTGACTTAGGCCCATTTGAAAATCCAAGTTGTAAAGGTTGGAAGGCAACATTTTCAAAGGCACCTAATGACTTTGATGGTCCCCACTGGGACTTGTGCTACTGACATTAATGGTGAAGTCCTGCCCCTTCTGAAGTCAATGGAGCCAGGATTTCACCCCATCCTCTAACCTTGACGGTTTGGCTGGGTCCCACTGCCAGTCGATGGGAGTCCTGTTCCTACGTCACGTAGGTGCTTTTGAAAATCCCAGAGCCTAACACACAACGCCCAGCTCAGGGTCTGCCCATCAGTGGTGGAGGGATCGTTTTGTCCACATGCAATCCCCGGATGGCCCTGCAGCAGCTACGTAGCTATTGATAACATGGCCCCTTAGCCAGTCCTGTGCGTGGAGGTGGCAGAACAGGAGTTGGGTCTGAGGTGAGCATGCAGCTGTTTGGTGGACTTGGCATACAGATCTCCACCAGCCTTGAAGGGGTCCCAGGGGAAGCACTCAGCACTTGGCAGGATCTGGCCCTTTGCATGTCTGGCTTTGCTTTGCCATTCTACACCCTGCAGCCCCATCCAACAGGGGCATGAACTGTGCTATTTAAGCTCCTGTCCCTTTGGAGTGTTACCCTTCCTGGTGGAATAAGGGTCAAAGCCCTTTGCAGCCCTCGTTCCCTGATGGCCCGACGAATAGCGAGGCAGATTGATCGCTGAGTAACAAGCGTTCGCACATGTCCTTGCCAGAGCATCGCAGGGAAGCTGGGATTTATTGCTTGGCTTATGGATGCCATAACCAACCATGTCACTCTGCTTCACAGCCTTCTTCTGTTAAGAAGAAGAAAATCAATCCGTCCTTGATCTCGACCATCTACATGGAGGTAACGGGTGTGCTGCTCCGATCCTGCCACATTGTCCCTCGAGCACCACAGGGATTCAGTGAGCCGTACCAGCAGCTGAATGTTCCCTCCCCCACCAGAGCTAAGAGTGGCCACTAACCTCAGGGCAAAATGCTGGATTCCTCCCTGTGACCTCATTCCCTGTGGTGGTGAGAGGGAGGGAGTGTTTACCCCTCCTCCAGCTCCTTAAAGGGAAAGAAAGAGGAAAATTCCATATAGGTGTGGGCCAAATTCCCTGCTGGTGTAAACCAGCTGTAATTCCATTACATCTGCTGTCACCCTGGTTTCAGTGGGCTCAGATTCTTACCTGGTATAAATAGATGCAGTCCATGTTGACTTATGCCAGCTGAAGAGCTGGCCCCATATGTTTATTTCTCCTGTCTGGGGCCTGATTCTTCCACTGCTGGGCATGAGCAGCTTCCACTCGCTCCGCTGACAGCAGCTCCCCTCCGGCTGCTGCTCCATTTCAAAGCAGCGCGAGGCGGGCCTGCTCGCGCAGAGCCGGTGCTGACTCAGTCTGACCCTGTTCTGTTGAAGGAACCTCAGAAGCTGCTATTCCCTGCAGCCTGTTCTCCAGGGGGCTCTGTCCCTTCCTCCAGGCAAGCCAGCTAATGTAGGCTAACGCTCGCAGCAAGGGTCTGCCTTTGGCTTCAAAAGCATTGCTGAACAGCCTGCTAATTATATAGTGAATGACGCAAGAACAGAATCATCAGTCTTGCATCACCTGCTTGCCGCTAGATACCAATGAACATCTTTGTTAAAATTCAGGGCTAGGGTCCCCACCTGCTGCACCTCAGCTCCAGTTTCCTTTTCACGGATCTGCTGGGCTCATCTCCCATCCAAACACTGTCCTGGTCGTTCCCCATCAGTGCTTGATTTTCGACGTGGCTAATTTCCTTATGAAAATTCTTATCCCGGTTTGTGTATGTAATGTGATTTCCTGTTACTGAAATACATTCAAGGTGGTTGGTTTTCTTGTAGGTTCAAGAAGCCCCTTCCAGACCCAGGCGTCCTCAAATGGTGCGCTCATCTTCACCTAATCCTGGGCATCTGTATTCCTAGCTTCCGCAGCCCCTCGCGGCAGGACACCATCTTCCTTTCCTTAAAGACCTTTTCCTCTTGGAGCGAGCTCCTTGCTGATGGACAGACCTCCACCTGTGCAGATAAGCACAGCTTTGATCCGAGCTGCTTGGATGCACAAGACTTGGGGGGGTTTCCTCCTTGCGCTCAGAGCGGAAATATCACAATAAGAGTGTCTTAGAATCATAGAATAACAGAGTTGGAAGGGACCTCTGGAGGCCATCTAGTCCAACCCCCTGCCCAGAGCAGGACCAATCCCAACTAAATCATCCCAGCCAGGGCTTTGTCAAGCCTGACCTTAAAAACTTCTAAGGAAGGGGATTGCACCACCTCCCTAGGTAACGCATTCCAGTGTTTCACCACCCTCCTTCATTCGTATCATGCAGTCCCAGGCCAAACCGTGAAGGCTCACTGAAAACAAATACACAGAGGGAGCAGAGAACAGATACCGGAACTTTTCTTTCATTGGGAAAGGTTGTTTGAGAAGGTTTGATGTGGAAAGATGGTTGGTTTGGGGGTATTTTATTTTGTTAATTTCAACGGGTTCAACACTCCTGTGGAGTTTGCACGCAGAGATGTGCAGAGATTTAACTGTATAAGCAACAGGTATTGTGGGTTAATTTGCTTAATAGCTTATTTATAGCTTTAAAATATAGCTAAGCAGGACAGATGTAGGATGTAACTCACCCTAATGCTAATGTAAATCAGGAGTAACTCCACTGAAGTCAACTGGACCAAATACTCTGTTGGTGTAAATCAACTGAGCTCCAAGTTACTTATCCTGGTTTTACACAGCTGTGAGAGGAGATTCAGCCCCTACTCTTCGGGGAGGTATCTAAGGGGCAGGGAATGGCACTGGAATTTGATGTTCTAAGTTTTGGTGACTGAGTTGTATAAGAGCCCAGACCCAGGTCTCGCGTCATCCTGAGGAAGATGACTATTACCAATTGTTTTATTTTATACCAGGGGTGCCCAGTGTCTTGTTAGAGTGAGCAAGAGTCAAAGTGACTAGAAACAAAAGTGAAACTGACCAGCCAAAGTTTGTCCTGGCTGAGGGAAATGCAAACCGGCAGAATAGAGAGAATCAAGAAGAAGTTTTGAACCTTCCAGTGACTTCCCACACTTGCGGGGGTAGTGGCTTTGGTGGGCTGCTCTTAATGATCTGAATCCTGGGTCAGGATATTCCCCTCCAGTTGCACCCTGTGAAGCATGAATTGGAATCACTAACGCGAAGCTGTATTGAGAGCCCTTGCCATGCCTGCTACAAGAAATAAGTTCAGCGAGGCTGGGGAAATTGTAATGTCCCGGTGCTCTGCAGAATTTGTGTGTGTATGTGTATGTATAGAAGTTCCAGCCCAGATCCTCAACCGGTATCACCTGGCACAGCTCTATTGAAGTTAATGGAGTTATGCCGATTTAGGCCAGATCTTTAGCTTGTATAATGTATTTAAAGAGATGTAGCTGTGGGAAGAATACCTTTTGTATTATATTGTAGGTGAGGCCAAATGCTCAGGAAAAATAAATACTACTGTCTGACAAGTAGATGTGAGTACGAATATCTATTGTGAGTATAAATACTTAGCTTTTGTGCAGCATTTTTCATCGGGTCTCAAAGCACCTGACAAATATACCCTTTTTTCTGACTGCAAATGGTTCATGAGGTTTAAGTGGAATGTAAGTATTAGACAGACTTTGTCCTGGCCCTTGGCATGAGGGTGAATTTCAATCTCTAGACACATCTGCCATTGACATCACCAGAAATTCTGCACAGAGGGCTTGATTTTATACCCATTGGAATTAATGAGAAAGTTCCTGTTAATTTCAGGGTGGGAGAGAGGAAGATGACCCTTTGTATATAAGCAGAGGTGTCACACTGATCGCTCACCCAACCGAGCTAAACAGTAAAGCTGGTTGGGAAGTGCTTTGGATGGAAAATGCTGATTCGTTGACAACAAAACCTTTTGTGGAAACATCTTGGTTTTCATCAGAAGACTTCGCAGGTGCAGGGTGGGATTTCTACTCAAAAGGAGAGACAGCAAGGCCCCAGGTCAGTCGATAGTCTGGGGGCGGGGGAGGGCACTCACCTGGATGTGGAAAACCCAGGTTGAAGTCCCCACTCCAAATCAAACCACAGCAGGGCCTTGATCTTTCATCTTCCACTGAGCAGGTCAGAGCCTTCATCACTGGTCTATGCTGTAGCTAACTTTTTGCAAAGCAGAATTCTCGTTTTCCAGCCAGCCCTATTAAGTGGACCGATTCCCTAGAGCAGTGGTTCTCAACCCGTGACCCAGGGCTGCTTGCAGCCCAATCAGCACCCAGCTGCAGCCCATCTGACATCCTCAGGGTCATACAGGGTAGTATATATATGGTGTGGATGCGGCCCACATAACACATAGAGAGCTGCCTTTGTGGCCCATAATGGCAAATAGGTTGAGAACCACTGCACTAGGGCAATCCCGCTGGGTCCTTCTTTTACTGCCTATAAATAGAAGCAGACAATACGTAGCCTGATCTATGGATTGTGTACTAATTATATCGATAACAGCGAATTCTTAAGTAATCGCTCTGAGGGTTTTATTTTATTAAATCAGGCCCAGTTTTATTAAAATTACTGTTCCCTTGGGAACCCTGCTGTGCACAATTGTGACACTCACGCTTTAGGAACCCTTCAGTGTTTGTGATAGCTCACTGATACATTTAGCAAAGTCACAAACACTCAAATCCTGCAAGGTAGGTAGAGACAAAACCGAATGTCCATCAGAACATCCATAAACTTGCACCATCCCTTGCAGACCAACCTGAAATGTTAGCCATTGTCTTCCTCCTCACCTTCCCCCTCATCACCAGTGGCCAGCATCCGGGTACCTCCCCAGGGCTACATCTCTGTCCTCCTGCCCACAGGCTGGGATACAACTTTTATTATACGTTATGCTGATGCCACTCAGTCTAATGCCCATTCAGTAGGGGTTTCTCCCCTCTTCCTTCCTTCCTCTCCCCTCCCCTACTAATGTTGGGGTGTCCTTCTCCTACAGGTTTCAGAGTAACAGCCGTGTTAGTCTGTATTTGCAAAAAGAAAAGGAGTACTTGTGGCACCTTAGAGACTAACCAATTTATTTGAGCATGAGCTTTCGTGAGCTACAGCTCACTTCATCAGATGCATACCGTGGAAACTGTAGCAGACTTTATATATACACAGAGAATATGAAACAATACCTCCTCCCACCCCACTGTCCTGCTGGTAATAGCTTATCTAAAGTGATCATCAGGTGGGCCATTTCCAGCACAAATCCAGGTTTTCTCACCCTCCACCCCCCCACACAAATTCACTCTCCTGCTGGTGCTAGCCCATCCAAAGTGACAACTCTTTACATAATCAAGTCGGGCTATTTCCTGCACAAATCCAGGTTTTCTCACATCCCCCCCACCCCCATACACACACAAACTCACTCTCCTGCTGGTAATAGCTCATCTAAACTGACCACTCTCCAAGTTTAAATCCAAGTTAAACCAGAACATCTGGGGGGGGGGGGGGGGTAGAAAAAAACAAGAGGAAACAGGCTACCTTGCATAATGACTTAGCCACTCCCAGTCTCTATTTAAGCCTAAATTAATAGTATCCAATTTGCAAATGAATTCCAATTCAGCAGTTTCTCGCTGGAGTCTGGATTTGAAGTTTTTTTGTTTTAAGATAGCGACCTTCATGTCTGTGATTGCGTGACCAGAGAGATTGAAGTGTTCTCCGACTGGTTTATGAATGTTAGAATTCTTGACATCTGATTTGTGTCCATTTATTCTTTTACGTAGAGACTGTCCAGTTTGACCAATGTACATGGCAGAGGGGCATTGCTGGCACATGATGGCATATATCACATTGGTGGATGTGCAGGTGAACGAGCCTCTGATAGTGTGGCTGATGTTATTAGGCCCTGTGATGGTGTCCCCTGAATAGATATGTGGGCACAATTGGCAACGGGCTTTGTTGCAAGGATAAGTTCCTGGGTTAGTGGTTCTGTTGTGTGGTATGTGGTTGTTGGTGAGTATTTGCTTCAGGTTGCGGGGCTGTCTGTAGGCAAGGACTGGCCTGTCTCCCAAGACTTGTGAGAGTTTTGGGTCATCCTTTAGGATAGGTTGTAGATCCTTAATAATGCGTTGGAGGGGTTTTAGTTGGGGGCTGAAGGTGAGCGCTAGTGGCGTTCTGTTATTTTCTTTGTTAGGCCTGTCCTGTAGTAGGTAACTTCTGGGAACTCTTCTGGCTCTATCAATCTGTTTCTTTACTTCTGCAGGTGGGTATTGTAGTTGTAAGAACGCTTGACAGAGATCTTGTAGGTGTTTGTCTCTGTCTGAGGGGTTGGAGCAAATGCGGTTGTATCGCAGAGCTTGGCTGTAGACGATGGATCGTGTGGTGTGGTCAGGGTGAAAGCTGGAGGCATGCAGGTAGGAATAGCGGTCAGTAGGTTTCCGGTATAGGGTGGTGTTTATGTGGCCATTGTTTATTAGCACTGTAGTGTCCAGGAAGTGGATCTCTTGTGTGGACTGGACCAGGCTGAGGTTGGTGGTGGGATGGAAATTGTTGAAATCATGGTGGAATTCCTCAAGGGCTTCTTTTCCATGGGTCCAGATGATGAAGATGTCATCAATATAGCGCAAGTAGAGTAAGGGCTTTAGGGGACGAGAGCTGAGGAAGCGTTGTTCTAAATCAGCCATAAAAATGTTGGCATACTGTGGGGCCATGCGGGTACCCATAGCAGTGCCGCTGATCTGAAGGTATACATTGTCCCCAAATGTGAAATAGTTATGGGTAAGGACAAAGTCACAAAGTTCAGCCACCAGGTTAGCCGTGACATTATCGGGGATAGTGTTCTTGACGGCTTGTAGTCCATCTTTGTGTGGAATGTTGGTGTAGAGGGCTTCTACATCCATAGTGGCCAGGATGGTGTTATCAGGAAGATCACCGATGGATTGAAGTTTCCTCAGGAAGTCAGTGGTGTCTCGAAGGTAGCTGGGAGTGCTGGTAGCGTAGGGCCTGAGGAGGGAGTCTACATAGCCAGACAATCCTGCTGTCAGGGTGCCAATGCCTGAGATGATGGGGCTCCCAGGATTTCCAGGTTTATGGATCTTGGGTAGTAGATAGAATATCCCAGGTCGGGGTTCCAGGGGTGTGTCTGCGCGGATTTGATCTTGTGCTTTTTCAGGAAGTTTCTTGAGCAAATGCTGTAGTTGCTTTTGGTAACTCTCAGTGGGATCATAGGGTAATGGCTTGTAGAAACTCGTGTTGGAGAGCTGCCGAGCAGCCTCTTGTTCATATTCCGACCTATTCATTATGAATCCGCACAGACACACCCCTGGAACCCCGACCTGGGATATTCTATCTACTACCCAAGATCCATAAACCTGGAAATCCTGGGCGCCCCATCATCTCAGGCATTGGCACCCTGACAGCAGGATTGTCTGGCTATGTAGACTCCCTCCTCAGGCCCTACGCTACCAGCACTCCCAGCTACCTTCGAGACACCACTGACTTCCTGAGGAAACTTCAATCCATCGGTGATCTTCCTGATAACACCATCCTGGCTACTATGGATGTAGAAGCCCTCTACACCAACATTCCACACAAAGATGGACTACAAGCCGTCAAGAACACTATCCCCGATAATGTCACGGCTAACCTGGGAGCCTTGGGAGACAGGCCAGTCCTTGCCTACAGACAGCCCCGCAACCTGAAGCAAATACTCACCAACAACCACATACCACACAACAGAACCACTAACCCAGGAACTTATCCTTGCAACAAAGCCCGTTGCCAATTGTGCCCACATATCTATTCAGGGGACACCATCACAGGGCCTAATAACATCAGCCACACTATCAGAGGCTCGTTCACCTGCACATCCACCAATGTGATATATGCCATCATGTGCCAGCAATGCCCCTCTGCCATGTACATTGGTCAAACTGGACAGTCTCTACGTAAAAGAATAAATGGACACAAATCAGATGTCAAGAATTCTAACATTCATAAACCAGTCGGAGAACACTTCAATCTCTCTGGTCACGCAATCACAGACATGAAGGTCGCTATCTTAAAACAAAAAAACTTCAAATCCAGACTCCAGCGAGAAACTGCTGAATTGGAATTCATTTGCAAATTGGATACTATTAATTTAGGCTTAAATAGAGACTGGGAGTGGCTAAGTCATTATGCAAGGTAGCCTGTTTCCTCTTGTTTTTTTCTACCCCCCCCCCCCAGATGTTCTGGTTTAACTTGGATTTAAACTTGGAGAGTGGTCAGTTTAGATGAGCTATTACCAGCAGGAGAGTGAGTTTGTGTGTGTATGGGGGTGGGGGGGATGTGAGAAAACCTGGATTTGTGCAGGAAATAGCCCGACTTGATTATGTAAAGAGTTGTCACTTTGGATGGGCTAGCACCAGCAGGAGAGTGAATTTGTGTGGGGGGGGTGGAGGGTGAGAAAACCTGGATTTGTGCTGGAAATGGCCCACCTGATGATCACTTTAGATAAGCTATTACCAGCAGGACAGTGGGGTGGGAGGAGGTATTGTTTCATATTCTCTGTGTATATATAAAGTCTGCTACAGTTTCCACGGTATGCATCTGATGAAGTGAGCTGTAGCTCACGAAAGCTCATGCTCAAATAAATTGGTTAGTCTCTAAGGTGCCACAAGTACTCCTTTTCTTTTTGTGAATACAGACTAACATGGCTGTTACTCTGAAACCTGGGAATAGAATGTGTAACAGCCATGTTAGTCTGTATTCACAAAAAGAAAAGGAGTACTTGTGGCACCTTAGAGACTAACCAATTTATTTGAGCATGAGCTTTCGTGAGCTACAGCTCACTTCATCGGATGCATACTGTGGAAAATACAGAAGATGTTTTTATACACACAGACCATGAAAAAATGGGTGTTTATCACTACAAAAGGTTTTCTCTCCCCCCACCCCACTCTCCTGCTGGTAATAGCTTATCTAAAGTGATCAGTCTCCTTACAATGTGTATGATAATCAAGGTGGGCCATTTCCAGTATGATTATCATACACCTTGATTATCATACACATTGTAAGGAGAGTGATCACTTTAGATAAGCTATTACCAGCAGGAGAGTGGGGTGGGGGGAGAGAAAACCTTTTGTAGTGATAAACACCCATTTTTGCATGGTCTGTGTGTATATAAATCTCCTCACTGTATTTTCCACTTTATGCATCTGATGAAGTGAGCTGTTGCTCAAGAAAGCTTATGCTCAAATAAATTGGTTAGTCTCTAAGGTGCCACACGTCCTCCTTTTCTTTATTCTGTTCCCAGTTCTCCAAAACTTAGGGGTGACTGTTGGGCCATTTATCTGTGCCAAAGTTCATAGGCTGCAAGCCTTGGGCTGACTGCTGAAGCCAGTGTCTGACAGGGGACAGGCCTGTAGGGTCGTTGCATTACTGCTGAATAAAATAAATGCTAAAGCTAGCTCTAGGGGCTACAGACAGAAGTTGAAGTCCTATTGCAATCTGGCCTTGAGGCTGATTCTTGTCTTGCTGTGGGGGTTTCAGCTTGAAATTTCAGCTCTTTGTGTTTCTAAAAAGCGGAAATAGTCTGAAGGCAACTGCTCAAATTCCACAGACTTGGGCATCCGTCAGCACTTCCGGCTCCAGCCGAAGCTGTCATGTTACCGTAACGTACGTTAATAGGCTGGTTTGCATGTGGAGACAATCTGCAGTGCGTGCCATTAAGGCTGATGCACTGGTTTGCTACACAGCAGTAAAGTTGCTCTCATGTCTTTGCGCATTTCCATCATCAAAATATAATAAGGCACGTGGTAGGTGTTCGCTCTCCAGTCAGTTTCACAAGCTGGGGCTCTCTCTCTCAGCTTGTGGATTTCTGACTGCGGGTATCGATCTGACTGCGTGTGCAATGTGAAGACAACAATGTCGCCTGGGTAATGGTTAGTTCATAATAGCGTCTCTTCAGTGTTAACACCAGATCTTCCCAGTAACGGATGTGAACCACTCGGGGCTGAAAGTGGGTCAGTTCTCAGCAGGCATTGCAGATTCCCCGTCGTTTAATTCGCTGCCAGTTCGCCGCTCCAGCCAGGTTCTAACTCTTGGAGACCGCTGGCTTCCAGCTACCGCGTGTGGGAGCATCTTAGCATTCCCTTGTCACTGGCTCCCCTTGAACTCAGCAGCTTAAAAGCACTGGTGCGTCTTACCCGGCACATTAGCTCACTGCGTGAATTTCACTGCCATTGCTGCTGACATCAGTGATTACAAATAAGTGTTTACTACTTTGTGCAGTGTTGTTGTAGCCATGCGGGGCACAGGATAGTAGACTGACAAGGTGAGGGCGGTAATATCTTGGACCAAGTTCTGCTGGAGAGTCAAGCTTCCAAGCTAAACAGAGCTCCTCTTCGGGTAATAAACGATATTAGCTCCCCTTGTCGCTCTGTTTACTACTTCGACACTTCTGAGCCGTGCTGCTGAGAGCAAGGAGCTGGATATTACTGGACTTGTGGACTGCTCTGTGGGTGATGCACAAAGTCCCAGAGTTCAGGCAAGCGTCCCTGTTCAGGAAAGAGAGCAAGCCTGGGCTTAATTTTAGGCATATGCTTTCAAATCGTGGATGGAGCTTAATCACATGCTTAGAGTTAAGCGTATGCATAAGTGCTTTCCTGAATCGGGGTCTACGTTGCAATTACTGAGCCAATCAGCTACTGCCCTGTGCTACCACTGAGGGCATGATCATCTACAAGAGCAGATGGTGGGTAAAACCTTATGGCTGCTGATGCTGTGAAAGAGGGCAGGCTGAGGTTATCAGCCCGGCATTTCCTAAACTGCCTCTCCCATCTCACTTGTGAGCTGATCGCATCCGAAGCAGAGCGGCTGAGTCACAAGCACGCAGGCCCTGTGATGCCATTCGTAGGGTCACTTGAGCAGAGCCGTGCTGCAACTGGTCGGTCGGCCCACTCAGCTGGATAGCCAAGGCGCTGCTAACGGGGCAGATCTCAGCCGATGTGAATCAGCGTATCTGCACTGATTCCAACACAGTGCTGTTGGTTCACCCACGCAAGATGTGGCCTGTTTGTGCAATGGAGAAATGTCCCCAGATTGGTTATTTGTAGCCAGAGCTTAATTTGTAATGGAAGAGGTGCCGGGGCTCAAGCAATTTCATAACTGATGTGGCAAGCCCCCAGGTGCCGGGGCTATGACCTGCCCAGCCCTGGCACTAATTAAGCACTGTTTAAAGCAGCTATACAGGATAAAAGTTTGACCCTGGGGCCTGAAGTTTGACCCTGGGGTCTCATTTTCACCAAGGCCCCTTTATACCACTGGTGTAAATGGTGGATTCTATGTAACCTGAAGTCTTTAAACTATGATTTGAGGAGTTCAGTGGTTCAGCCAGAGGTGATGGGAGTGGGTGGGTGAGCCTCTGTGGCCTGCGATGTGCAGGTCAAACTAGAATCATGATGGATTCTTCTGACTTTAAAGTCTATGACTCAGCCCGGCTGGGGAGGGCCGCGTTACAAGAGATGTGACTCCGAACAATGGCAGGCTGCGAGGCATTGTCTTGCAAGGACCAAATATTTTGGGGTTCCTCTGCACAGCTCAATGCCTCCATCCCAGCACAGTCTCTACGGAGAGTGACACCGCCCCTGGGATTCTGCCCAATGAAGGGGCAGGTTAGCCGCGCTCCTTTGCAAGGGGCTGCAGCCATTCCCGGCACAAAGGCAGCCAGCGTGCTACAGTATCCTGGCTGCAGGGGTGAAAGTAGGCTAGTACGGGCCAGTACCGTGTACCGCTAAGAAGCTGGTACCGGGCCCTTATGCAGCCGAGGTGAAAGAGCTGCCACGGTAGAACTTTAAACATCGCTGCCCCTTTTGCCCCCCCCATTGGTGACCCTACCGGCAGGGCTGCAGATGGGGGGGAGGGGCAAAAGGGGCAGCTGTCCCGGGGCCGGTGATTTGAAAAGGCCCAGGGCTCCCGGCTGCTGCTAACTGCGGCAGCGGCCAGAGCCCCGGGGGGCGCAGGCCAGGCAGCGTGTGCCCCCGGACCAGTCAGTGTTTAATATCACTTTCATCCCTGCCCAGCTGAAGGAGATTCTGACTTGCAGCTGCCTGGACTCCGAGCCTTTCATTGGCCTCACTGGCTTGCTAGCCTGTGGAGGGAGAGAACTTTGCTGCATGAGAGTCTACGCCTAAAATGCTGTATTCATACACTGAAACTTGCTCAAGGAAGTGGTTTTCTTTGACAAATTGTCACATGCTGCAAAAAGGGAAACTGCTCTTTAGATTAGTTGAAAAGATGCACTGCACTCCTCGTTAAAGTAACTGTTTTAAAATCGGTTTGGCCTGTCTCTCATTTACACCAAGCCCTTTTTATCCCAGTGTAAAGGGGCCTTAATGCAGGTGTACCTGTAATTTAGTCCCGTATTAAGACCCTTTTACACGGGTGGTGTAAGTGAGAATCAGGTCCTTTGGCAACGTCACTTGATTAGAGGACATCCTGGTTTTAGATTGCCGCGAGGCTGGGGAAGATGGCGGCAGCCGGTCAAACCTTTGCATACCTGGTGGTGCTCAGCAGCTTACAAGGTACGCTTTTTGGATCTGGGTTGCAGATTTGGGCTGTGTGTCTGCTCGCGCGTGCTAGTGATTTGATTCTTTCTCAAACTCCCCTGCCTTGTGGTAGATAAGTTTTATCTTGGAGGGCTGGAGCGGGGGGAAAGGATATAAATTCTGATCCAGTGTTTTGCCGACATTTCTTTACTAAGTGGAGCACGGCTGCCTTGTTCCTTTCAAGTTACAGTTTTCAGGCTCATCACAAGAACAGGCTTAGAAACTTATTTTTTGTGTTTGTTTTTTAAATGAAAGCCCGTTTTTTCCATCGCAGAGACCAAAGCCGAGGGGCTCGCACAAGTCGCTGCATCAAAGCTCCAGAGAGATTGTTAGAGCTCATTAATTGTATTTAGCTGGGTTGCTGGAACAGACATTTCCTTACCCTGCCTAGTTTTTCTTCTCTGAAGTCAGTTAGAACTGTGCCCATGGGCTAAACCCAGGCCACAGACTGGAAAGCTCCAGAGAAAACTTCTAGAGTATTTCAGTCTCCAAGGATCTAGAAGCTCGTCATTTTTTATCATTGACAACATTTGTTCCTGCACGCACTGAAATTAGGGCCATCAAAATCCACACTTCTGGTCAGAAGGGGTTGTTTTTTTCCTCCTGCGTATAGCATTATAGTGATCAGGGGAATCAGACAGGGGTTTGGCTCTACTTACTCCGAAATAGGGATTCCATTGTTGTCAACTCTTGTGAATTTGTTGCGAGTCTTGGTATTTTCTAAAAATCCCCAGCTGCTGGAGCCCTGTGATTATGTAAGAATCTCACTTTTTTTTTAAAAAAAAAGAATGCTAAATTTCTAGCCCTTGTGGTTGTGGAGAAAAGCTTGAAAACATGATCCATAAACATTCAAAACCCAGCAGGCACATAAAAAAGAACCCAAAACTAATATTTTAAAAAAGACAATCTCATGCGTGAGGGACCTCATTCGTGATTTTGGGAGGCACAGGGTTGGTAATATGATGGCGGCGGTGTGGGGGAGGGAAGTTGAAAGGCCCAACTTTTTAGAGGCGTTTCAGTGCCTTCAATGCTGGTGTAAAGGGTGGTGTATTTGTTAATCCTTATGTCATCCATTACGTGTCTAGGGCAGGTCACGTGGTGTTTGTGATTTCCCCCTCCCCCTTAGTAATGGCTTTTTATGGTAGTTCTTGCGTACGGGAGAAGATGGTCCAGCTTCGTAGGCGGAGTTGAAACAGCAAAATCCACTCTGTCACCATCACACAGCAGCAACGGTGAAGCACACACAGCGAATCAAGAGACCATAAAGTGGTAAAAGGAGCTGAACTTACCCCAGAGTCAGCAGTGGTCACGTGTAGGGCGTTTTGCTTGATCCAAACAAGAAACAATCACCCCTAGCTCTTCTCACCCATGGATCTCAATGGGCTTTTTAAATGGGTACCGTTGTCCCAATTTCAGAGTGGGAGAAACTGAGGCACAGAAAAGGAAAGTGACTTCACCTAGCAGGACAGCCAACTATAGAAGCCAGGTCTCCTGAATCCCAGTCCAGTACTCTAGTCACTAGGCAATACTGCCTCCAGTGAATAGCGCACACTCTGTTTGCTAGATTACCAATTCAAAAGGTCCAGCTTATAAATATGAATGTGTTTAACACACCTGGTGTGTGTATATGTCTGTCCCCTCCCACTCTGGTGATGGTGGGGTAACAATCTACTATCGCTACCAGCTAATGGAGTTAGTTACTCCTTTAGCTCAAGTGTGAGACTTTAGCTCTGACTGCTGATAATCGCTGACCCTAAAGATGACCCCTGCTGGATTTGCTACTTGTGTCACTCATGAAAATGCTCTTTCCATGATTTAAAACAAAAAACTCCCTCAAAAGATGAAATGGCCTCTGAAACAGGAAATGATGGGGACAGGAAGTGGCTCAGCATAAAGCAGCCTCTCCTGCTAATTCCGGGCAATTTGTAGATGGGGAGGGTGGGCGAAACAGGAAATGTAAAGGACGAGGCCATTGGTATGTTGGTTATTGATTAGGACCCCAGAGAACAAATTAGGGGCAGGAGAGAAAATAAAAAAGGGTGCAATCTAAGTCCAAACTGGAAGTAAAAACAACACTTTGCACTCCTGTAGCAACTTTACTTACCAAGGAGCAAAGGATGCAGACCTTAGCTGAGCCTTACCACAGCGATCTCTGGGAATCGTTATACAGAGGGGGAAACTGAGGCACAGAGTGAGGCAGTGACTTGCCCAAAGTCAGTGAGTTGGTGATAGTGCTGTCAGGGTGTAGCCAAACTTGGCAGGATCCACCTGTTAGAGCAAATAAGGGAAATATTGGTGCATGAATTAAATCTGCCGAGGCAGGAAGAATATTCTGTCCCACCCTTCCTGCTTCATGGCCGCAGTGACACTTCGTGGGGACTCCCCTCTGCACGAACGGCTGCTGTGCATCGTGGGAGATGTAGGCTGGAGGAGAACAGGGGCGGGAGGTTCTGCACTAGCCCAGCTGGGCACAGATGAAGGGCGAAACATTCCGTTTGGATTTTCCTGACAAGCCAAAGAAGAAGTTCATTTCCCACGGAAACTGTCATTTTTTGCGGAAACCACATTTGCTGTTTAAACACCCAACACCGCCCCCTCCCCCGCAGATATTTCTAGGACCTCACTGCCGAAGTAATCCCAATAATTTCAACATAAGAAAGCAGCATGGCAGAATCCTGCCCCCGGCAATAAACAGCCCACGCCTGCTCCCGAATGCCGGTTGGGGGCACCAACCCCAAGACATGGGCGTCCCCCTCTTGCCAGTCTCCCTGATCTCTGCGCTTTGAGGGACAGGCAGTCAGTGTCCTTTCATCCCGCTGGGCAGACCTCATTTGGCCTGTGTCTCCCCCGCGACACCGGCCACCATTCTGCCCCGGGATCTCCATTTCCGTTAGTGGTCTGTCCTCTAAACGGCGTTTCTTCCCCTCCTCTCCAGCATTTTCTTTGCTTCTTCTTGCTCTTCCTTTCACTTCTCCCTTTGTGGGTCACTTGCATTTGTGCTAACTCACCCCTCTGTCCAGGTTGTACCCCCAGGCCCCAGTTAGCTCAGGCATCAACTCTAATTTCCCCCAATGTTCTAGACAATCTCTTATACGTTCATCCTCGCTGATACCAAAGTCACAATGCTCTGCTTGCTCCAGGCCCCCTTGGACACCGGCAGGCCCTTGTGCGTATTATATTGTTGTTGGGAAATAAATGGTTCGACAAGCCTTTTCAGTACAAATATCAGAGTGGTTCAAGACCTAGTGGCCCGCGATCAAGGCTCCGTTTTGCTAGGGACTTACAACATAACAATACCTAGAGCGAGGGCTCTTTGCGGCTGTAGATCTGTGATACTGGGTCCGGACACCATAAGGGGAAGAACAGAAAGTTAGGCCCAAAAAGGAGCCGCTGAGCCCACTGATTGCATGGTGTATTGTTGTACTCTGGGAGTATATTGAGTAAGGGCTTTTGTGAAAGCTTGGAATAGTCTGAACGTGATGGTCATTATGCGACATCGATACAGACTGGGGTTAAACCGGCCTCAGGGAACGCTCCATTGCTCATTTTGGGGGGGCCTAAATCTTCTGTTCTCCACTGGGGAGGGCAGTCTGGAACCTGATTGTCACAAGAACTCAAAGTCCTTCACAAAAGAGCCAGTAGCATTATCCCCATTTTACAGGGGGAAACTGAGGCACAGCAAGAGGCATTCGCGCTAGCTTGTCCCAGTTCATCCAACAACTAACTAAGAGTAACGCTTGTTCCTTTGCTTCCCATTGCAACCCTGATTTTTGTCTGTTGACAGCTTTCGAGGCCACAGAGATGCCGCACAATCAGGTGAATGGGATTGTCCGTGGCACGGTGTATCTAAACCCCAAACTGCCAGTCCCAGAGGAATACAAGCAGATCATCTGGTGGTTCGATGTGTCCCTAAAGATCCTGACTAAAAAACGGGATCAGCCAGTGTCTTACCTCAGTGGCTTTTTTCATAATAAACTGTGTTACCACGAGAATCACACCCTGGAAATTGTCCAGCTGCAGAAGCAAGACAGTGGCATCTTCCGGATAGAAGTGGAGAACAACCAGAGCAAGACGAAAAGTGAACTTATCCAACTGAAAGTGTACGGTGAGTCGGGAGCGGCTTCTTCACACAAGGGTCAGGGATGGTGAGGTAGAAGGGCCCCGATAATGCACCCTCCTCTCTCCCCGGCCCGAAATGCCCACAAGGCAGGGGAAGGAGCAGGTAACAGCCTGGATGGGACAAAGAGGCTCCTAGAAATGGGCCAGATCCTCAGCTCAGGTTCTGGGTCCAATGTTCCATCGCCAGAGCTGTTCTTTCTGGAATCTTTGTGGCTGGGGCTTTAAGGAGAGGGGTCAGGTACTGACCTTAATGACATTCCTGTTTTGGGATCTCCCACAACGGACCAAATGGGAACAGAGGCAAAAGCAGATTGCTGCCCTGCTGGCAGAAGGTGGGGTAATGGAGCCACCCAGACGTCTTCAAGGAACAGCTACACACACGTCAGAAAGCAGGGGAGACCAGCTAGTGAGAGCCAGGAAGGCCACCGGGGAAGAGGGCTCCATAAAAGAAATGAGTTGATAACCCATGACAGATGACAGAACGAGGAGTAATGGTCTCAAGTTGCAGTGGGGGAGGTTTAGATTGGATATTAGGAAAAACTTTTTCACTATGAGGGTGGTGAAACACTGGAATGCGTTACCTAGGGAAGTGGTAGAATCTCCTTCCTTAGAGGTTTTTAAGGTCAGGCTTGACAAAGCCCTGGCTGGGATGATTTAACTGGGAATTGGTCCTGCTTTGAGCAGGGGGTTGGACTAGATGACCTTCTGGGGTCCCTTCCAACCCTGATATTCTATGATTCTATGATTCTATGATTCTAACCCCCCCAGGCTAAGCTGGTAAGGGCCAGGAAGGATGGTCTTGTAGCCAAGGTACTGGACTGGCATCCAGGAGATTTGGTTTAGTCACTTAGGCCAGTGTTTCCAAAAAATGACTAAGGATTTGGGATGCCCCATTTTCTGGGCACACTTTAAAGGGACCTGATTTTCAGAAAGTGCTGAGCATCTGGGCTCTGAAAATTGGGATCCTACAGGGGATCCAGAATTGAGGGACACACAGTCACTAGTCACGTTTAAATATCTTGGCTTAAGGCCTTTGCCAGGGGTCTCTCTGTGCTTCAGGGTGTGAGGATATGGCCATGGAGTCCTGAGAGATGCTGGGGTGAGGGAGGTTATCTAAGCAACCAGACATACCCTAGGGTCACATGCACTCTGCTAGGTGAGATGGTGGGTAGACAGGATTGGCGGGGGGGGAATACACAGGGAATTTGGTACTGTTGATCTAATGTATCTGGTCCAAATGGGGTGTATTTCATCACCCCCAAAATGCTGAAGGAAAACGATGAGATCTGGAAAACATGCTCTCCAGTGGGAAACTTTTTAATGAGCTTATTCTAGTTAGCTTATCAAAGGGAAGGTAAATTGGTGACTCGCTCTCAAAGCAGTTCTAACACACGGGGAAGGTCTCTGAAGAGCCCTCTCTTATCAATCTAGCAGATAAAGGTAGAACAAGATCCACTGGCTGAAAGTTGAAGCTAGAAGAAAGTTTTGTCTCATTTTGTGTTTGCATTTAACGGGGATGGAAATGAACCATTCACACAGCTCACCCAGGCATATGGTGGATTCTCCATCACTTGAGGTCTCCACATCATGGTTGGACCCTCTTTCTAAATGATATGCTCTCATCCAGCCACAAGTCAATGGGTTGGAAGCAGAAGCCATTGTGTGAAATTGTCTGATCTGCATTACACAGGCAGTCAGACTAGATGAGCATCATTCAAAGATTCCAAGGCGTGAAGGAACCATTGTGATCATCTTGCCTATCCTCCTGGATACCACAGGCCAGAGACCTGCCCCAAAACAATTCCTAGAGTAGATCTTCTAGAACAATGTCCAATCTTGATTTAAAAATTGTCAGTGATGGAGAACACATCACACTCCTTGGTAAATTGTTCCAATGGTCAATTACTCTCACCGTTAAAATTTTATGCCTTATTTGCAGTCTGAATTTGTCTCGCTAATAGACCCTTCTGTATAAAATCTATACAAGCAACGTCCCCAGCTGGTATAAATCAGTTTCATTGGAGCACCACCAGTTTACATCATCTGAGGATCTGGCCCATGGTTAGATCTCTGTCATGGTTTGGCCTGTTGTTGAATTTCTCTTTTCTCTATTTCCAGAGCCCGTCCCTAAGCCCAGTGTGAAAGTCACTATCAGGGCCAACGAAGATGGATGGTGCAATGTCACCCTGGAGTGCACTGTGAACGCCACCCAAGTGGCCTACCACTGGTACAAGAATGAAAAGGATTTTGTGGGCAAAAATAGCAGCACACTGGACGATCAGTTAAAGTCAGAAAGTCACGCATCTTACAAATGCGTCGTCAGCAACCCCATCAGCGAAGAGGCGGGCTTGGTCTATTACAGAAGCCCTTGCACATGGGATGGTAACATTCACTTTGCATTCATTTATCTTGCTGCGTCTATCTGGCTGTGCAGGTTAGCTATGCAGCCACTCTGGTTCGGTCTCAATTGAAGCAGGGCAGCCGTGGTTTTGGTGACTCTTGAGTGAGAGTCTCGTTCGCTGCTCCCCAGTGTGTATTTCCCCCCCCCCCCCGGGGGACCCCAGAGCAGTCTTCTGCTGACCTGCCCTGGGCTGTGAGTTGCTGTGAAGCTGCAGTCACCGTGGTGCCAGACTGGGGATGCCAGGCTGCTGGGGGTGCCGCGGGTGGGATGAGGGATCCTGGCCACGCGGCGTGACGCTGCCCAGGGTTGGAGGGGCTGTGGGTGCCTGTGACACAGGAGAGCCGCCTGCTGATGGGCTGCCGTTCGGGCGAGGGGCTGAGTCCTCAGGGGGTCGAGGCCAGTGGTTTGGAGCTCGAGGTCACAGGGACAGTCCCTGGCAAGGGCCCGACCAAGGGGGTCCATTAGAGGCACCAGTGCAGGGCATGCTGTCTGCGTTAGCACAAGGCACAAAGTGATGCAGCGGCTGGGGGGGCTGGGGGGGGAAGGCACAGTGCAGACAGTGTGTTCTAGGGGGATCCCAGACGATTAGCCACAGGGACGGTGCCGTTGCAGCCGGGCACTGGGTTCCGGAGCCAGCTGTGAGGTTCTGGGAGCCTGTGTCGATAACTGGGGGGATCCTCTGGGGTTTGGGGGTGTCTCCTTGGCTCATTCTGCACAGGGAGGAGAGAAGAGTCATCCTGGGTGATTGAAGCAGCGGGGGGAGCTCTCTCTGCACCCTCTGGGGGATATGGGGGGGCAGAGTGCTCAGGCCAGGGACAGGGCTGCTTTCCCTGTGTTTTGCTGTGCATCCTCTCTTTGCTCCCCTCTCCTTCGACCCCTGCCCATCCTTGCTCCTAAAGTCTACCCCCTCCTGTGGGTTTTCCATGGCAGGGGCGAGGCAGCCCATTTGTATTATTGTTAATAAATAGCCGGCAGGTGCTATAAATAACAGGTTCTTGTCTTGTTTCAGAGAAGAACTCAGCCGTGCCCTTGTCCCTGGCTCGGAAGACCGCCGATTCCATCCTGGCGTTTGGATTTCTCCTCCTCGTTCATAACTGGGTCTAAGGCTGCCATTCCGGTGAAAGCCAAGGGAACGCAACGATCTCCTCGATTGCCTGCGCTGGTCCGTTCCCGGGCAGACCTGGTGAAACGCACAAGACCAAAACGAACTCCTGAAATAACGGTGTTAGACAGATATCCACCATCTTGGCCAGCACACTGGGGATTGAACCAGGGACTTAGAGAACTAAGGAGAAGATGATGTTGCGGAGACAAGGCCCACTACTTGGGTGCTATAATAGCCTCACTTTCTCTGCAGATGGAGATGGGGGTGCGGGGAGGGATCCTGGCTGTTTGCTGGATAAGAACAAAGGTCCTAAGTCAGTTTAAATTCAGGCTATTTATCCAAAAGTCCTTCCTTTGTTTGTTGGGATCTGGAGAATCAGTTTAAAAGTGCAACCGCTCCAGGTTGTGGGCATAGTTGCCAACTTTCACGCCATAAATAAGCACCCTGACTTTTTTGATTTATTGTGAATCAAGCTAATCCCACTTCAAAACAAGGCCAAAACAAGCCAATCCCTAAGTACCTCAACACTCTGTGTGACTAGGTCCCCCCGGCATGCAGTCTGGGACTGTGGTGGGCCCACTGTGTACCCCTGACTCTCTCCCCACCTTGCCCCTGTTTGCCCCTTGCCCCCCTTTATTCCCCTTTGCCCCTGCTTGCTGGGAGCAGATTAAAAAAAAAAAAAAGAAGCAACAAGCTACAAGCCAAAAACTAGCCAACAAGCAACTCGCAAGCCACTTAAGCCAAAGACAAGCCCAATTTCTGTGGTTTTTTTTTCACGGGTTGGGCATGTCTGGTTGTGGGACCTCTTTGGAGGTGTTACAACCTGAGGGATTTTGCATAACAACCCCCCACTGTTCTGAGTACCTGGAGAAGCTGTGGCCTCCCTTCCCGGAGGGAATTGACATACAAGCCAGAGCTGCAGAAGAGCTGGTCTCTCTCACCAACAGAAATGGGTCCAATAAAAGAGAGAACCTCCCTCACCTTGTCTCTCACACCAACTTGTCCCTGGCACACAGCGATACATAAACTTAATTCAAGAAGGTTAACCTGTATTCAGTAGGGTTTGTCCAGGAAATTGCCACACCTGTGACAAATTATGAGGGACCTGGGAGAAAGGAAACAGACCAGGGAGAAAGAAATATCTGGGAAGCCTGCAGAGAGATGAGGGCAAGGAGGGCTCTCTTCCCAACTGGGGACGAGCTGGGAGAAGGGGACCAACGTACAGAGGAGAGCTGCAGACTCCTGTTTTAAGGAGAGAGGTAACAACTGCCTGAATTAACCTGCTCCAGGAGGAGGGTGGGGGTTTCTGCCGCAAGGAGAGACTGGGGGGTAGCCCAGGCTGGGAACAGGGCTCATGGGGTGGGCTTCAGAACAACTCCAAAAGCCAGGAGAGCCTCTGCTTTATTAAAGATGTTTGTTCTGGATTATTTGGCACCAGCTTTTATTAGGAATCTCGCCCCCTGGGGAGTATTATTGAGTCAAGAGGCCTGAAGTGGAGTTACTGGGTTCCTGAGAAGGGAAAGTGAGGCAGGGAATGCCACACTTAGCCAGAAGTGGGTGATGCTGCAGGGCAGTCACACCCCAGGACAGTAACAAAAGGGGCAGAAGCATGAAAGAAAGAGTGAGCAGGAAACAAACAAATACTCATGGCTAAGCTGCCAGTGTAATGGTGGTGCCCACAACTCACGCTGCTTGCTTGTGGCTGTGATACTTCGGGGAAATCTCTCTGTCTAATTTCTGACTTTGGTGTGAAGTTATGAACTTGCTGTATGTACCTTTACCAATATGGAGCAGCCTCTTGGCCTCTCTGTTGTCCTTTCAACTCCATGTCGGAGCATTAGGGGGTAGGGGCAGCGGCCTAACAGTAGGGGTCATTTAACTTAAGTGCTCAGCCATTGAAATGTGATCACTCTAGACAACGGACTGGCTCCAAACTAGGCTAGCTGGGTGAGGTTGCCTGGCAGTGAAGACACCTATTGAGGGTGACAGGGGAGTCACCTGACAGAGGAGACTGGAAGGTTACAAAAAGGGAGGCACTGATCTAGTTGGGGATCTTCTTCCTTAGCTCAAGAAAGATGGGAGAGAAGCAATGCAACATGTAGGTGCCTAAGGTGTGAGCCCTGCCTACCTACCTGCACATAGATGGACCAGGCACTGAATTAGAGACCAGGGCTCTAGTCTCAGCTCTGCCACTGACCTACCATGGGCAAGTCACTGTGCCTCTCTGTGTCTCGGTTTCCCCTCCTAACTTTGTCTGTCTGGTTTCTTTATACTCTGCAGATCGGGGACAGACTGCTTATAGCACCTAGCACAACAGGGCCCTGAGCGTTCTTGTGGCCTCTCACACTACTATAATACTAACAATAAAATTGATTGTGAATCGAGACCCTTTTTATTGGTTAGCAGAGCGTTACCTATTGCCCTCAGCATGTGAGTCTGTTTGTTGGATGCAAATAGCTGGTTTTGATGAGCAATTTTCAGGAACTGTTCAGTTCCAGCTCTTTCTAATTGATGGTTAGTGACTGGTTGCGAGGTCCCATGGTATCATTTTTGCCCTCTGGTTAGGTACCTGAAACTGTCTTAGAGAAATATCTGGGATAACATTTTAGATGACTAACTATTTACAGTAAAAGTCTAAGAATCTTCCAGTATTTGCAAACATTTTCATAATGACCTGGTAGTTCTCCAAATAATCATGACTAAGATAACAGTAAGTCCTACTGAATGGCAGACAATGCTGCAGAAATAATAGCATGCAATCATCTAATTAATTAAACTAAAGCAGACTCACTAGGGGCAGAGTTAAGGTTGCATGGACATCACCAGTTAGAACATTTGCAGGCTTTCGAGTGCAGAGATGCATGAAATATTTCAGGCAAAAAACTTTTATTTGACAAAAATGCAGATTTGGGCAGACCAAAATTCTGAATTCTGGTTGATTTTGGTGAATTCTTGCTCAAGAATAAAGAAACTCGGAAAAGTCAGAACAAGCTGTTTCCGAAAGATGTTGTGGAATTTCCCTCAGATTTATTTTAAAAATTCTTTAAAATGTTTTTTAAAAACTCCAAATGAAACAAAACAGTTCAGGTCATGTGATAAGTTTCATTTGATTCAAAATGATTTTTTTTTTTTGATTTGCTGAAAATTTTTTTGGGAGTCATCAAGTCCAGGTCCCTGCACTGAGGCAGGACCTAATAAACCTAGACCAGCCCTAACATAACCAACCTGTTATGTATTTTCCCCCACTATGGAATGCACGCATGGATGCTACACATACACACTCCTGTCTTTTGTGTGGTTCTGAATGTTCTCAATCAGTTACGCTCCAAACATCTTTGTCCTGCTCCTTCCCTATGTGTTTACATATTTAATGCCAGTGGCCCTCCATTTCTGGTCCTTCCTGTATGCAAACTGGTGCTTAGACTAAATAAATACCTACAAGGTCATGTTTTTTCTCTCTCCTTCTTTTCCTCTGGCAGGGAAGGGGTTAAATCGGGGGACTCTTTGAAGTTGGTGGGGAGGAAGGAAGCTGTTGGAATGTTCCATTCGCCCTGCAAGGGCGTGGGGCGTGGGGGAGAGCTGCTCTATAAAACGGTTGTACAAATGAGCCATAAAAATAATCACCAGACTCACAAGGATAAATCACTAGACATGAGTGTACACAAATGTGAACTGAAATTGTGTGTGTGTTGGGGGGAGGGGTTAATAGATTCCTCTCCTCTTCATCCCCGTCCCCCCAGTAGAGATGGTTCAGTCGCCTGTTACAGGTGAGACATACCTGGATAGTGACTGCCATGGTAACTGCTCATCATGGGGAGAGGTTTGGCCCTATTAACCCTTAGAATGCTGGTTTGCCCCCGGGCAATTTCACACCTTGGGGACCAGCCAGTTCCTGAGGGTTTGGGAACAGGCCACAAGAGGGCGCTGTGCTGGGGTGCTGGCTTCTGGCCACTGGGAGCACCCGGTCCCTACCTATCTTCCCCCCTCCCGCTCCATCCATCGCTCTCCTGCACCCCCATCCTCCAGGCTGTCCCCCTCCCATTGCAGAGGAGAGACGGGAGGAAAAGGAAACCGGCCAATGCCACATTGCTCCCCTCCTGCCCTGAGCGTGGCTGGCAGCAGCTCATCCCTGCCCCCTATAGGGGAGGTACGGGGGCAGTTTGTCTGTGTAGGCAGGACAGACAGGGCTTGGGATGCTGGGACTGTACAGGGGAGACAGCTGGTGGGGGGAACAGAGCTGGGGTTGGGGGCTGGGGATGGAGCTGCTATGGGGCTATATAAGGATGAAGGGGGGAGGAGTATTGAGTGGGGGAAGGAGGGGTCAGAAGAGGAGGGAAAAGAGACCAGTGTGTTCTGGTAGGGACCAGTGTGTTCTGGTAGGGTGGTAACGGAGGATATTGGTGATAGCACAAGGATATTACTCAATGGCTAATGCAAAGCATGGCCCAGTGACTAGGACACTAGCCAGCGACTCTGGGTCCAGTGCCCAGCTCTACCAGATGCTCCCTGTGTGACCCTGGGCAACCCACTGAGTTGATTGATGCCTCAGTTTCCCCACCTGTGGTACCAAGGAGATATCAGCACTGCCCTGCCTCACGGGGAGCGGGGTGGTTAGGGTAACTATTAGAGACTGGGAAGAGCTCTGGTCCTAGGGTGATGGGCGGCCAGGTAAGTAGCTGAGCCAGAATGTGAAGGTGGGTGTTTAGGAGCTAGCTCCCCCCTCCCCCAAAGTGATCTACAAGATGGCAACATCTGCAAGAGGCAGGTCTGTTGGGAGAGATTTGGGGCCCTGGTACAGGCCCCACCCCCTCTCATTTAACCATATTTACACAGACATAAGAGAAGTTTGTGGTGGGGGGGCTGAGCTTGGGTCCCCCCTTTTCCTCCTGTCTCATCTGCCCTGGAGAGAGACTGCTCTGGGGCTGGCCACGGTCCTAGCCTAAGGCAAAGTGGTGCACTGGTCTAGGCTGTCCTGATGACTTGCCGTGTGGACAAGGTGCTTCCTCTCTCAGGCATAATGACAAGCAGCTTGTGTTAGAGAACCTGGAGCATTAAGTAGTGGTCATGCAGCACTTTGAAAACCACAACACTAGAGATGGGCCGGGCCTAATCCAAACTCAGGAGCTTCTAGAGCCAAACTTCCAGCCCAGCAGGATGTCCCAGGTCTTGAACCCAGGCCTGGGTGTCCCTAGACAGCTGCTGCTGCATCCTGGCTCCGCCACCCAGTGTCTGCTGAAACCTGGAGTGCCCGCAGGCTAGTAGGACGATAGCCTCAGCCAAGACTCCACCCACGGGAGCCCTGATTGGAGGATCGCCTGACTCCACTGATTGGTCCAACCACACTATTTAAGCCAAAAGGAAACACAGGAAGTTTGTCTGAGCAGCCAAGTGGTTTCCTGTTGTGGCTGCACCCAACCTGCTTCCTGCCCCGCACCTGGCTCCTGCCTTCTCTCTTGTTTCCACCCTGCTCCTGCTCCATGTTCAGTTCTTGCCTTTCCTCCAGTTACCAGGCCTGGCTTCGACCCCGGCCTCCAACTTCTGACCTTGATTGTCTTGACCCTTGGTTCTGCCATTTGGTATCTGACCTTGGCTCTGACTCTGGTCAACTGGTAGTTGCTTCTGATGCTGACCCTTGGCTTCGTTCCCCAGCCTGGGTGCCTGCTCTGCCCACTAGACCTGATTGCTGATCTGACTCCTGGGCCAGGTCACTTACAGCCTGGTCCATAACTGTCGGTCCTATCCCAGCAACTCACGCACATTGGACTATGGCAGCAGGGCTAAAACCTTACAAAAATGGCCACTGGGTTTCTAATGACCCAAAGGGAGCTTGGTTTTATGTGTCATCTTCCTCATTAGTTTAGAAAAATGAGGCATAGGTGGCAAAAGTGAGACATTCTGCCCTTGGAGAAGTAATGTAACCGGCTTTAATTGAGTTCCTCTGGATTTATGCTGGTGTGAATGAGAGGAGAATCAGACACTAGGACTGACATAGCTGAAAGAGGCTGGATCAGAAAAGTTTGTGAAGTCTATCCACGACCTCCCGTGTCTTGATAAGTCACCGCGCCAGCCCCATTACAGACACACTCAGCCTGGGCCCCTGGTCAGAGCTCAGGGTATTAGGGTCAGGATTAGAAGACCAAATGCAGCCTTGTGTACGTAAGTGCCAGACTTCTCCAAGAGCACCCAGCAGCTCCCACTTTGGCCCACTTCATTTGGGTGCTGCTGAGCTCTTGTGGAAATCCGACCCTCCAGCCTTCTTTTGTGAACAGCTGGGCTCCCAAATGCTCACCTCTCTTTCCTCTTTCCCCACGGAGAGGCCCCTTCTGAGTTGTCTTTTCCTCCTAGGACTCTCTGGGAATGTCTAGGAGAAGCTACCAGTTCGGTGTTAGGATGGTGATCCTGGGACTATGTTGGTTGCTCACATGTCTTATCCTTACAGGTAAAGTAAGTGTGTGTGTGTAGCTGGTTGAGAATTTTCCACTGGAATGAAGAAACAATTTCTGCAAAATGGAAACTTTCTGTGGGAATTCTTTAATTTTGTTAAAAGAAAAGGAGGACTTAGAGACTAACAAATTTTTTGAGCATAAGCTTTTGTGAGCTACAGCTTGCTTCGCCGGATGCATTCAGTGGGAAATACAGTGGGGAGGTTTATATACACAGAGAACATGAGACAATGGGTGTTACCATACACACTATAATGAGAGTGATCAGGTAAGGTGAGCTATTACCAGCAGGACAGCGGGGGTGCGACGGGACACCTTTTGTGGTGATAATCAAGGTGGGCCATTTCCAGCAGTTGACAAGACCGGTTGACGAACAGCGGGGGGGAAATAAACATGGGGAAATAGTTTTACTTTGTGTAGTGAGCCATCCACTCCCAGTCTTTATTCAAGCCTAAGTTAATTGTATCCAGTTTGCAAATTAATTCCAATTCAGCAGTCTCTCATTGGAGTCTGTTTTTGAAGTTTTTTTGTTGAAGAATTGCCACTTTTAGGTCTGTAATCGAGTGACCAAAGAGATTGAAGTGTTCTCCGACAAAACTGAAGAAAAAAAAATTCTGGTTATTTTGACCCAAATCAAAAATTGACCCAAAATGTTTAATTTCAAATCAGTTCAACAAACTGTTAAAATAGCATTTCCCTGTTGCCTCATGGGAGTTGTAGTTTGGCCCTCCATTCTCGCCTCTGGGCCTGGCTCCCTGGAGGACTACATGTCCCATACACCAATACAGGCTCCCATCTTACCAAGCTGTGTGGTGCACCATGGGAGTCACATGACCCTCAGTACATTATGGGAGAGGGAGCCCGGCCCAGCCCATAGGCATCCAGCTCCCAAATTACAGCTTCGATGAGTCAATGTGCCTCAATGGGAAAATGCAGATTAATATTGAACTGACTTGAAACAAAGCATTTTGGGTCAGTTTAACCATTCGAAATGAAACACTGCCATTCAGGAATGTCTGATGTTCTCAGCCAACAGTGCTGAAACTAAATTCTTCAACGCTTCCAGACTGAAATATTCCAGGATTTCCATTCTGCAAAATAACTTTCAAATTTTGGCTTTTCATCTTGATGTGGGATGGAAAATGAATGTTGAAATATTGTCATTTCCCAGCGAATGGAAACTCCCAGTTTCACTCAACCTGTAGATAGGTGGAGGAACGTGTATGGGGATAGAGAGGTGTGCATGGGGATGGATGGATGGAGAGATAGATAGATAATATCGATCTGCATGAAATCAGACTCAGAAATCAAACTCACGTTAAAGAACTCAGTTCCATCAGTTTCCTAACCTCTCTCTTTCTTTCTGTGTTTCTAGATGCACGCACCACCAAATCCCAGGCAATCCAGCTGACTGGGATGGTGGGAGGGTCGGTAGTTTTCCCTTTCAAAGTTCCCCCGTGGGTGCCCGTGGAGACCATCGTCTGGAATTCGGTCACAACCCTCGCCACATTTACCCCCCGGAAAGGGAAACTAGCTGTAGTTAAAGTGCTGGATAAACGCTACATAGGGCGGTTGAGGGTCTTGGACCATACCTATTCTCTGGTGATTAGCAACCTGAGCATGCTGGACAGGGGCGTGTACAGAGCGCAGATAAACACCGAGTTCACCACCACCGTGACGGAATACCTGCTGCGCGTGTACAGTGAGTGTGGGGGTGGGATGGGGGGTTGTTTGCACCAGCTGACGGTTGAGCTATTGGTCCATGGAGTTGCTCCTGCTTTTCAGAGTTGCTGAAATCTTGGGGCTCCCCTGGATTTCAAGAGGAGATGCAGCTACTGAGCATCTCTGGAAATCAGACCAGAGCAAGGGAGAGGAAAATCAAACTCCTGTTTCCTTTAAATTCAAGTGTCTGTTTCAAGAACTTTCTTTAAACAAAGACACCTCAGGCCAGTTTCCTCCAAGGGTCAACAGGGAGCTAGTCAGCTCCTTTGAAGCTCTTTAAT